TCTTTTTTGCTTCTTAGAAGTCAAATCTATTTCTCATTTATAAAAATGGGATAGTCTACCTAAAAATCTGGAGATCTAGCATCTCTTGAAGAATAAAAGGTTTAGCAATACTGGGCCTATTTCACTCACGGCAACAATCTAGGGAAAGTGAGAGCGTTGCTCCCATACAGAGGACATGTGTTCTCCATTCCCCACAATCCCCACCAGTCCCTATTGTCCTGTTTTCACTCACTTGTATCACTTCCGGCTTCTGTAGACATTTGACTTTATAATTCTTAAGATATATGGGCTCTCTAGCTCCTTTCATCTCTTCTGGGCTATGAACCCTGGAAACCATGGAGGAAATTTCCTTGATAAATTACCAGAGGAGAACTAACTACTGATGATTTGCTACAGGCTTTACTTAAAACAGAAGCTCTCCTAGACTCTGATTCCATTTTCCAACAAGGGAAAGAATGTCTCTTGAAAAAAAATCCATGGCCAACTTGTTCAAGTTAATGAAAAGGGTCCTTTGATTTGCAAAGCCCATGAAGACAGTGGGCAGATCCACGGCTGAAGAGTAAGGGAGCTGGGATGCCTCACAGGGACCTGGTGGTCTCCAAGTGCTCCAGGGCACAACCATGTTAGGTAGTAGTACAAATCTATCCCTGCTGGGGGGGTCCCACTTTTTTCACCAGGCACAAGCAGACCTTCAGGAATTAGGTGGTCTGGAGGGGTGACGCGGTGGTGCCATGCAGACACAAAAACTAAAAAAAAAAATCCACTTTGGCCCATCCTAGAGATGAAATTGGCCCCTTCCCAACTAATCTCTGTAGGACTTCTACATTTGCCAACAAAATTCTGTCCCTGGAGTGTCTTTGAGAACAAACTATGCAGCATGTTGGAGAACCCACAATTTAGGTAGAGCTGGTACTTAACCACACAAGCAACCTTGGACAAGTCACCCAATGTCACCGAGCCTTAGTTTCCACATCAGAAAAATGGGGTAACGATAACACCTCTTTCCCAGGGCAGCTGCACGTGAGTTAATGGGCATCTATTCCCCTTTGTTCTCTGGATGACAAAACTGAAGCTTGGGCAAGAGAATTGATTTGCAGCACGACGCTGCTTTGGGAGGTTCCTATGGCTGGCTAAGATGCAAACCCATTAATCAAATCCAAGGCAAAACTTATTAGAAACAGATCTCCAGTACAAACCAGAGGGTATTATTTAACCAGGAAAAAAAAAAATAAACATAGTAATATGTAGTGCTAGGCCTAGTTGTAGTAAAACAAATACACATTCAAAGTGATGGGTCAGTCTTGTTACTACAGGTGAGAAAGCATGTCTCGCGGTAGACTCCCCATATATGTTTGCTGAACTGTTGAGCTGAAAGCAATTTGTCAATTGTCTGGAGGCCATTAAAATGTCCATTATCTTTGTTCTTTTTTGACAACTCTCCTGGGAATTTTTCTAAGGATCCAATCTTGAAGGGGAAAAAAATGAAAAGAAATAATATATTGAATTCACTGTGTACATCGGAAAAGGTTTTCTAGACTTATAAGAAGTGATGGGTTGAACAGTGAGGTCTAAGGGTCGAGATCCACTGGAGTGGTCAATGGAGCTGTGGATAACTGAAGATAATCTCCAGGCCCAGCCATCAGGACACATAAAGAAATGAGAAACCCTCACTCAATGGTATTTGGGAGGGACTGGGTAGCAAAAGGAAAAACATTCACATTATAATGTTAAGCACAAAAAGCAATGTTACAGGGGCTTCCCTGGTGGCGCAGTGGTTGAGAATCGCCTGCCAATGCAGGGGACACGGGTTCGAGCCCTGGTCCGGGAAGATCCCACATGCCGCAGAGCAACTAAGCCCGTGCGCCACAACTACTGAGCCCGTGTGCCGCAACTACTGAAGCCCACGCGCCTAGAGCTGAGCTCCACAACGAGAGGAGCCACCGCAATGAGGAGCCCATGCACTGCAACAAAGGGTAGCCCCCGTTCGCTGCAACTAGAGAAAGCCCGCTCGCAGCAACGAAGACCTAACACAGCCAAAAATAAATAAATTTATTTTTTTTTTAAAAAAAGCAATGTTACAGAGGTGATGATGGATCAAAAGGAGAATGAAAATGGCTGTGTCAGAATCGTAAGATTAGGGTAGACTTTAAATTTTTTTTCTGCAATTTTTATGATACACGCACATCGGGAAGAAATACTGTGTTCTGCACACCTGTTGAAACTCAGACCTGGAGTCTGTCCAGCTGTGGACCTCCTGATCTTTCTGCAATTGAAGCCACCCACTAAGCACCTACTACGTGTTAATGGGCACTGTGCCAGGCACATTCTGCTGTGCCAGTGGGGATCTCCAATCCCTGGTGAACAGGTCTCAAAGGGAGGAATCAGCATCACAGTCTCTGGAGAAGGGAAACTGAGAGAGAAGGGAACTTGCCCCAGGGTCATGTGGCTAAAAAGGGCCGAGTTGGGACTGAAGCCCAGCATGACATGTGCACAAAGTCTGGCCTCGTTCCAGCACCCAATGTCCCCCAAAGAACTGGGACATGGAAGAGGGCATTAAACAGCCTTGAATGACACTGCAAAGGTCCTTCCTGTTCAACCCCTTATAGGACTTCTGATGACCTCTAGAAGAAAAAGGATCCTTGTTAACAGAGAGAACGTAGTCCTGGGGATGAGAACCCTCCCCAGGTGAGCTAGAATTGAGCAGCGTTGCAGAGTTTTCACTGGTCATGTCCATCTCTGCACGGGAAGCCATACTTGTTTTCCATTGACTGTAGTGACGTAAAGAGCCCTTTCCATTTCCTCTTCCCTTACTATGAACGTCAGAATGTGCCTCTCTAAATGTGTATTTCAGGATTCATACTTCTGGGACCTTGGGTTTAACCACACCTCCCATCACAGTGTTTTCTATTACAAAACACCTAAAATCCCCACCATCATAGGACAAGTAGGATCCAAACATTCAATTGCAAAAGATGCATTGCATTATTATGAGGTTAGTGAAAATTGATATATTATAGGCGGTCCATACAGTCACAAAAATCACAAAAGTACAGACAGTGAAAATTATCCTATGCCCTAAACTGAGAACGTCTCATATGATACCGAGATGGTCACTTCCTAGCCCTCCACACCGCCACGTCACCCCCTCCCCAGCATAAGGTGAGAACTTCAGGATCCTCCCACCACCAGCCCTGTGTACTGGAGCCCTTCACTGGTCAAGTTATACCTGGTTCACTTAACTACACATTATCACAGGTGTTCGCGTCCATCACTACAATGAAAGCCATCCAGCCTTTTCGCTGGTTCAGGGCTTCAACCAATTCACTGAACAAAGTCAGGCACTTTTACTCCTCAGAATTGCAGAAATGGGTCCGTGCACCCCTGTCCTTCCACCCTTGGTTCGTTTTTACAAAGTCTCCTTTCAAAGTACCACAAATGGTATCACCTGCCAATGTTGAAAAGATAACAGTATCTTTCTTTGCAAGCCTTCTGTGAGTTCAGCCCCGTCTCCTACCTGCATGAACAAATATGGAAGGGGCTGTTTTGAGGGGGCTGATATTCGGAGCACAGCCTCCCTCAAGTCCAGAGGCTGGACGATGCTGGGATCACAACCAACAGCTTCCAACGTCCACCACACAATGCCACTGTAGCCCGCTCAGTTTCCAAAGCTGTGCACATCCTTGGCTGCAAAATCACTTCTGGGACAAAGGAATGTTTCTGAATTCAAAACGATTCCACCTCAAGCGTGTTCTCCACTATTAACAAACAGTTCAGGAAGAAATGAAGGAAGCTGAATCCCTCTGGGGACACACTCGGTTTTGCCCCGATGGGATCTTAGCAGCATCTGAGAGCCCTGTGATTTGACAAGGTCATCTACAGACTCCCAGGGCTGTTGATGAAGTTGGCTGTTCACCTGCAAGAATACTTGAGGACAGGTTAGGTGAGGGTGACGTTCCCCAAGCAGACTTCCAGGCCAGAAGCAGCTGTGGTTTCCATTATACCCTGCCTCTCCCCATGTTTGGGAAATCCTAGTGGACTTTCAGAAAGTGGAATCAGGGAGATATGTTTGACAACTCTTTTTTTTTTTAATGTGGTGGATGGGGCCTGTGTCTTTTCCACAGCTGGCTTCTAGCACTGCCCCACCCTCCATTACTGCAAGTTTACCTGCTTTATAACGATCTGTTACCCCTGCCCGTCCCTGAGTCTGGAGCAGCTGTGCGAGGCAGTGGGTGGGAGAAGGATGTAACGTGGTCCTATGGAGATATGAGAGGTCCACTGCCTAGGCCCACCTGGCTTGGCCTCTCCCCATTTCTCCCTTCTGAACCCCCTTTGGGCTCTAACAGGCACTGGAGTTAATGACCACATCCATCCTTTGCCCCTGAAGGCCTTCCAGCTCCACAGCCAAAGCCCCCATGGAGCTGGGAGGGCCTGCAGCCCTGGCTGAGCAGGCCCGGGCGGTTTCTTATTTATTTATTTATTTAATCTATCAGATAGAGAATTTTAATTAAATTGGCATAGTTAAGACCGAAAAGACAAAGTGGACATTGTAAGTGTGTCTTCAGCCCTTGCCTTAACAGGCAAATGAACACAACTGAAACACAGGTGGCTCTTGCTGGTCTATGAGACAGTGAAGAGAGCTTCTCAAGATTTAAATATATTAATATAACCACTGATAGAAATCTAAATATAAAACCAATCTCCTATAGGGTTTGGGAAGGCATTCACCATATCCCTGAAAAGTTTAACCTTCCTTATTCAAGTTTAATCATCTCTTTAGAAGGGGAAATCAGTGATAGTACTTGTTGAACCAGAGTTACTAGCAAAATTCAAAAAGCTGACCATATTCATTTAGCCACGAGCCAATCTTATTTAAATCAGGACAGAAATATTACATCAGCCATTCATGATCTGAATTCTAGTGTATGAGATCAATTTAAATATGGTACACATAAAAAGTCATGATACATCTGTTTCATAATAAATAAGGCAGTGGCCAACGATTATGCATTAGTAGCTTTTTTGAGATACGCTATCAAGTCTGCCCTTTCTCCCTTCTTCTTAATGCCAGCGAAGATCATTTTTGTTCCAGGGATGTACTTCTTGGGATTCTCCAAATACTCCATCAGCGTCTCCTCTCCCCAGGTGATGCCTTCGTTCTTGTTGGCATCTGTGTAAGAGAATCCGACAGCCTGACCTGTCTTTTGCCCAAACAGACCATGGAGATTTGGCCCAGTCTTGTGCTTGCCTCCCTTTTCCACAGTATGGCACTGGGCACACTTCTGAACAGAAATCTTCTTGCCCTCCTCAACATCACCCATTTCTAAATCGTACTTTCTCCGTGCACGACTAAGAGGTTCCCGTTCGCAAGCCGAACGTCCCGCTCCCTAATCTCATATTTAAATAAATGCATTTAAGTTTTAAAACACAAAACGATTTGAAGAAGTATCAAGTAAACCGTCATACAGATGTTAGGCTGACTGGTGTGCAGTGTATGGCTGGTCCACATTTTGGCCATGCTGACTTAGATCAGCCTTCGAGTGTTTTGAACAAATTGTTCCTCGAAGGCCTGGGTTCGGGATGCTATTTGGGGTTCCTTCCAAGCCAACAGCCTCCCTAGGAACTGGAACTCCTAAGCTCTACTGGAGCGATGTGATTCAAAGTCTTTCGCTTAGGCTAATCTATCCTGCTTTAAATCCTACAGCGCTATAGAAACTCAATGACAGAAGAGACAGCTGGTCCCTGACAGGAAAATACCATTAGAAGGCCAGAGGCAGCCAAACCCTCGGTAAATGGATTAATTCACTTAGCTTCTGGAAGGTAAACCTTTCTGGAGATGGCATCCAAGTCAGGAGGTGGGCCAGCTCCCTGTGAGGTGGGCCCCTGAATGCAGATGAAACGTGGGTTTGGAGCTCTGATGTAGATCCAGAGGGGCCAGGCATGGAATGCCCGGCAGGGAGTTTTAGCCTGCAAATGCCAAGGTGCAGCACATTTGAAGTTGTGAGGAAGGGGAAAAGCAACGGGAATGAAAGCAAATATCTGGGAGGGGATTTTCTTTTTTTTTTTTTCTTGGCTGCACCCTGTGGCTTGCAGGATCTTAGTTCCCCGATTGAACCCGGGCCCTCGGCAGTGAAAGCGCTGAGTGCTAACCACTGCACTGCCAGGGAATTCCCTGGGAGGGGATTTTCTTTGGGCTCACTTCCCCTTGCATTCAAACCTATTAACCTTAGTGTGTTAGGAGCACTTTCTTCAGGAATAATCTCACTAAATGCTGCAGAAAAGTTAGAAGGAGTTTGTTGGGCTTGATAGGTAGAGAAATAGACACAAAATTCACTAGCATCAGTGGAAACTGAAATGTTAAGTCTCCAGTCCAAATACTAGAGCTGGAATCCTGGCCTAGAGATTTTTTTTTTTTTTTATCTCTACAGTTTATACTCCTCCTCAGAGATGAATGTTTTTCTTACTAGTCTTATTCTGAACAGCTACAAACTGAGATTCAACCCTGCCAGGCTCTGTGTGTGTGTGTGTGTGTGTGTGTGTGTGTACCTGACCGAGAGACTACCCTTTAAGTAATATGTGTGTGCTGTGTGTATTATTTTTACAGAAATAGTTTGGCTTCTATCCTTCAAATATCCAAGGGTATTTGGAAAATATAGTCTAAGACAGACTATTGATCCATTCCTCCAGTTTCCTAAGTGCTCAGTGTATATCAAGTTTATAGAGTATAAGAACTTAACGTCTTACAGAAATGCCTTTACTAAATTGCACTGAAATAATAAGGTCTTTTGCTTTTATATTGGAATGTTATGGCATCTTTAGGAAAATCCTTGTGCAGCTTAATAGTCTCACAAGTAATGATCCTCATGAGAAAATATTTGTGACATTTGAATCAAGGATAACTTTATCTCTCTTAAGAGGTTGGTATGTTTCCTTTAATCAGACAAGTGTTATATAACTCATCATATTTCTATTTTTGCTTTGGCTGCCAGGAAATTCAAAGTTAAGTTATCTGTTCAAGACCAGTAACTCTATTGGCCTAAATTTGGGGTATGATCATTTTTCCGCTTATTTTAATATTTGCTTAATAATCCTCAATAATAATTTTAACAGTCCTACTTTATCTGAGTCTGGCATATATTACATCTGTTACATATCAGATATATATAGTATACATTATATCAGGTCTGTTTTCGCTTGCAGTTGACAGATATCCAACTCAATTAAGTTAAGCAATAAAAAGTATGGAGGGGATTCTTATTGGCTCATATAGCTGAAAAGTTGAAAAGTTCAGGGTAGATCCAATCATAAAACTTTAGAATAGGGACAAGTCAAAGGGACACAGGAACCAACCTGAAAGTGCTCCCAGTGACCAAAGCTGGAACAATTTGAACAACAAAATAAATAACACGGAACTAAATTATAACCCAAAGTATAAAAGAAATATACGTGAGTCCATACTATTAATAATATAAACAAATGATGGAATAAATAGGAACAAGAAACAAATCTTCCTTACAAAAGAATTTCAAATAATATATGTAGAAGCTCCCTCTCTAGGATGTAGAGGTTAATTCCTTTGAGGGTGGACGAGATTTAGTGACTGGCTTCCAAAGAGGAGGGTATAAAAAAGGGAAAATAGTACCTTTACAGTGGAGAAGCCTGGCAAACACCACCTTGACCAAGTGATAAAGCTCAACATCACCAGTGATGAGTCATGTTGATATGATATGAACCCTCTGATACGATGTGATGAGAAAGGTACTTCACATCCACGGTAGTCTTTCCAAGACTCCAAAACCCCGTCTAAGCATGAGAAAAACATCAGACAAGCCCAAGTTGGAAAATATTCTATAGGATACCTGGCCAGGACTCCTCAAGACTGTCAATCAACATCATGAAAAACAAGGAAAGACTGAGAAACTATCACAGACCAAAGGTGACTAAGAGGGCATGAGGACTAAATGCAACGTGATACCCTGTATTGGAAAGAGGACATTAATGGAAAAACTGGTGAAATCCAAATAAAGTCTGGAGTCTAGTTTACAGTAATGTGCCAATGTTGGCTTCTTACTTGTGACAATTGTACCATTGTAAGTTATAGTGTAAGATGTTAACAATAGGGGGAAACAAAACTCTCTGTACTAGTGTTTCAGTCTGTTCAGGCTGCTATAACAGAATACCATAATCTGGGTGGCTTATATCCAACAGAAATTTATTTCTCAGAGTTCTGGAGGCTGGAAGTCCAAGATCAGGGTGCCAGCATGGTTGGGTTCCGGTGAGAGTCCTCTTCCTGGTTTGCAGATGGCCATTTTCTTGTTGTATCCTCACAACAAAAAGAAAGAGAGGGATCCTGTGTTTCCTCCTCTTTCATAATGGCACTAATCCCCTTCATGAGGGCTCCCTCCTCATGACCTATTCACCTCCCAAATGCCCCACCTCCAAAAACCATCACATCAAGGGTTAGGATTCCAACTTTCATAAATATGGAGGGGGGGACACAAACATTCAGTCTGTAGTTATCTTTGTACCTTCTCTGGGAATTTAAAATTATTCTTAAAAACAGTTAAAAAGTAGCAGAGGGACAAACAGAAAAGAAATAATAAATTAAATAAAGCCAATCCCATCAATAATCATATTAAATGTTAATGGTCTAAACACTCCAATTAAAAAGTAGAATGGTCAGAATGGATAAAAGAGACCCAACTTCAGCTTGTCTAAAAGTGATGCACTTTAATTATAAAGGCACACAGATTGAAAGTGAATGGAAAAGTGATGGAAAATAATTTGTCATGTAAAAAGTAAGACTTAGAAGGATGGAGTGACTATATTAATAACAGGCTAAATACACTTCAAGGTATAGAGTATTCATAGAGATAAATTACGTATAAACACACACACATAACCCTGATTGATGGTTTAAGAGAGATCATCTTCATCAAATGGTGTTAGAGCTGTGTTTGGCCCAGTCTTACATTTGCCTTTTTCTCTTCATGTGGCTCCCTGTCCACTTCCTCACCCCACCCCACCACACTTAACCAACCTTAGCAACCTAGTATTGACCTTTTCCATATTTCCCTATGCTTGTAAAATTATTTCTAAACATGTAAGACCACACATACATGTATATATACATATACAAAATATTTCTGTCATTGCTTTAGGAGAACATAGGTTCAAAGCATACACACTCTGCTCCAGCTTCTCTTTTAATACCTCATGCAAATTGCTCCAGGTCCCGAGATATTGTGCTAATTCACTATTTTTAATGAACTATTGAGAACGATCTGTTACTATGAATTATCCACAATTTATTCAACGTTGAACATATATGCTTACATTATTAGTATAAGGATTCCCAGGAGTGGGATTCTGGGTCAATGGGGCATGTGCATGTAATTTTAATACATTTTGCCAAGTTACTCCCCGAGAGGTTGTAGTAACTGCATGTCTACCAACCATGGGCGTGTGTACCCTCTTCCCTGCACAGGAAGAAAAGACCACCTGTTCAACATGAATTCTGCACCCCCAGCCCCCATGGAGGGTGTGGAGCAGATGGTACTGGGGCTCACACCCATCATTACGGGTCTTCTGGCTCACTTTGGGGAGGCAGCAGCATCCACACCCACAGCTCCCTCAGCTGCTGCTCAACTTGTCTGTCGGGGTCCCAAATCCTGGGTCACTTTATGTGAATGAACCTGTTCGTGTCCACCTGGGCCAGGTGCTTCTCTGGGGAAGTACCAGCTCGTCTGCAGCTCACCTTAAAGCATCAGGGTTGTGGGCTTTGAGGAAATAAAAGACCAACTGGAGATCCAATGAGACACAGCCTCCTGGGGGTTTCAGCATATCCTCCTGGCTTTGAAATTGACCTCGTTCTCCCCACTGCGAGGTCATCTTCTTTTCCTGTTGCCAACCCTGCTGGCCGCAGACCCACAGCAGACTTGGGGACGACACACGGACGTAGACAGTTTAACTGGTTCCCAGGATGTGTAAGGTCAAATGCCTATAATAAATCCCCTATGACACTCACAGCTATTCTGCTTCTCTGAGGGAACCCTAATACTGTACACCACAATTATTCTCATCCAGCTCTATGATAAAGCAAGCTTTGAGCCTTCAGGGTATATACTAAGACCAGCTGTTCCTATGGCCATCGCTTAGACAATGTCTGCTTAACTATAGATTGGAATTCACTGATACAGTTTTACAGCAAGTCAATTCTGCAGACACATATTGAGCACCTACTGTGTGCTCTCTGTGAGGTCTGCCCTCACACTAGTAATAATCCTCTTTTATAATGACAAAGAAAAAAGAAAATCTTGAG